CAGCTGGGGCCTGCCAAGTGGCAAGTGACCATGGTCCACGGGCAGGAGATGCTCAGCAGGCCAGAGAGGGTTTTCAAGTCATCCCGACTGAGGTGGCTTGCTGGGTGTTGATCACATAGTGAGCTCGAGGACAGAGATGGGGCTGAGGACAGAGCCCAGAGAGCCCCTGCATCCAGGGCTGGCCCGACAGCCTCGGAGACCACACTGTGGGCAGGAGGAGACAGCATGGGACCTTGGGGCCCTGGAATCTGTGAAGGGGCTTCACAGCTGCTCAAGTGCTCTCCTCATACCCAGAGGGGGCAGGGAACAGCACCCCCACTTCACAGATGTGGAAGGAGCTTAAGGCTGAGAGTGGCAGGCCCCACGAGGCCTTGGGGTCTCCTGTCAGATGGTCCAGATCCTAGACGCTGCCTGCAGTGGGGTGATGGGGGCTGTGGTGGTCGGGGTTTCCAGCCTCCCTTTCCTCCATCTTAATGAAGGTCTGGTGGGTAGTAGTTGTTGTTGCTTTTGAGGTATAAGTTATACATAATAAAATTCATCCTTTTTAAATATATAGTTTGGTAAGTTTTGACAAATGTATGTGTGTAACCACTACCACAATTAAGATATAGAACATTTCTGTCACCGCAGAAACTTCCTTTGTGCTGCTGTGTAGTCATCTCTCTTCCTGTCCCCAAACTCTGATACTCATTGATCTTTCTACCTCTATAGTTTTGCTTTTTCCAGAATGTCATACGAATGGAATCAGACCGTATGTGGCCTTTTGAATCTGGCTTCTTTCACTTAACATGCTTTTGAGGTTCCTCCTCGTCGTATCATAGCTCCGTTCATTTTTCTTGCCGAGTAGTATTCATTGTGTGGATGTACCACATTTCATTTGTCCATTCACCAGCTGAAGGACGTTTGAGCTGTTTCCAGTTTTGGATTATTATGAATAGAGCCGCTGTACATTTGTGTACAGGTCATTGTGCGGGTGTGCTTCCATTTCTCTTGGGTAAGTGCCCACGAGTGTGACTGCTGGGTCGTATGGTAGGTGTTTAGCTTTATAAGAAACTGCTAAGCCGTTTTCCACATTGGCTACACCATTTTGCATCCTACCAACCATGTATGAGGGCAATGTTATGAAAACATGGTGTGTACTTCTGTGTTTTGGTGACATACACACATGTATCATGAAAGCATCATAATAGAGTTCCAGGTACCCTCCAGTGTGCTACATGAGATGCTTTTGTGGATGAACATTTTTTTTCTGTATTTTACAATTGTAATCCTATTTTAATGTGCATTTAAAAAAATGTATCCAGCACACCAAACCCATGCTTTCTTGGCTATTAATGCTTAACGGCTAAAACACAGGCCCTGCAGTCAGATTGCCTGGGTTTGGCTCCTAGAGCCCCTTCCTGCTGGCTGTGTGGCCTTGGGCAAGCCACTCAATCTCTGTTAGGCTCAGATTCATCATCAGTAAAATGGGCTGGTAATGTCCCTCCCACCTCCTAAGTTTGCTGTGAGGGTGAAACCAGTAAGTGTATGTAAAACTCCCAGTTTAGAGCCTGGCACATGTTAGCTCTTGATAAATGGCTGCCATCATTATTAGATGTGTATGGCCCATGTGTGATGGGCGTGTGTTTTATATGTACTGTTTTGTACGTCTCTGTGTGCATGGTTCATATGTAGATGAGTGATTCCTGGTCTAAGGGATCAGGGAAGGGATAAGTCTCTCTCCTCCCATGTCTCCTAGGGTCTGGGTTACCCTCATGTGCTGACAGATGTATGTATGTGCCCATAAGTGTGCCTTATTGAGGCCACATGTCTGGGTGCACATTGTGTCCCCAGGGACCGGAGTTCCCAGATCTCGCATTCTCCATTGGTCCTGCTGTCAGCCAGGGTGGCTGGGCTGCAGTCCTTGTCTATCCAACACCCTCCCTGTGGAAGGGAAGCCCTGGGGGATGGTCCTGCCACGGCCTGGGTCTCTACTCCCTTGGTGTCTCCACCATATTTGCCCAGAGCCAGTGTTTTCTAGACCTTTACCCAGGGCCCCAGGACCCCACCCAGGATGGGTGGGAAGAAGAGGAAGCATTTTTGAAGGAAGCTGAAGCCCTGCAGTTGGTCCTTGGATTCTGAGTGGAGGCTGGGGAGGCCTCTCATGGGAGAGGCTCTAATGAGTTGCTGGGCTCAGCAGGCTCAAAAACACTGCTTTATTGAGGTAGAATTGACATACACTAAACCACACATGTTTAAAGTGTGTAATTGGGTGGGTTTTGATATTTGCGTACACCCATGAAACCATCACCACAATCAAGATAGTGAACACATCCATCCACCCAAATGTTCCCTTATGCCGCTTGGTAATCCCTCCCTCTCTCTCCCCACCATCCCCAGGTGATCACCAATCTCTTGTTATCACTATAGCTCAGTGTGTATTTCTTAGAATTGATACGAATGTGACAGGGTGGAGGGAGAGGAAGGGTTTTGAAAGGAATGGAAGCCCTGAAGTTACTCCATGAATTGTGTATGCTTTTCTTTTAAGCTGGCTTATTTCACTCAGCATAATTATTTTGAAATTCATCCATGTTGCTGCTCATATCAATAGTTCATTCCTTTTTCACTGCTGAGTAGTATTCCACTGTATAGCTGTACACAGTCTGTTATCCATTCACCCGGCGGGTATTTTTTTCCTTTATGCTTTCATTTCTACATATGTATACATCCCTAAACAATGTGTAACATCACCTTTCACCAGCAGGTATTTTTTGAAACGAAGAGTCAAGCTGTGTCTGAGGCTGGCCTGAGCCCAATGGGCACCTCTTCCAGGCAGGGCACCTGTAGCCAGTGCCATGCTCTGTGTGTTGCCCCAACTGTCCCCTTCCCTGGAATGGGTTCCCCTGCTCTGCACTATCGAGGGGCCACTCAGCCTCTTCCAGGTAGCCTTCCCAGACTGTCTGGGTCTCCTCTGAGCAATTTCAACCCTCACTGCTTGGAGGCTTTCAAAGCCCTTGAGTGCTGTTAGCGATTCCATTCTTCTCTCCTTAGTGAGAGCAAGGCAAGCTCGTCCTTGGGCCACCCCCACCTGCCACCTTGTGGGCCGGGTGTGCGGGAAGCTGCTCCAGGGAGGCCTGGAGGCTGAGGCACAAGGTGTCTGGCTGGCCCTGGACTGTGGACCCTGGTGTCTGGGGCCCTCTGGGAAAGAGGGAGCAAAGAGGCAAAGTGATGCAAACGAATGCAAACGCGGCCTGGTCTGAAGTCTGGGCCTTCTGGGATCTGGGATCCCTCCCTCCCTCTCTTGTCCCGCCTGTCTTCCTCTGCGTCCTGGAAACCCCTCCTCCTCTTTAGGGTGTGGAAGGGATCTGGGCATGCCTGATGCTGGCGGAGCTTTCTGCATTATTAAATTTCTACCTCGGAGGGACCAAAATTTGAAACATCCCAGAAGGCCTCTGTCACATTCTGTGGCTTTCTACTTCCCCGCCCCCATCTTCCCCATCCTCCATGTCTCTCTTTCCTCAAGATGGTGGGATGGGCCAGGGCTGCCCTTCATGATGGACAGCACAGAGATCTTGGGGAAGAAATGAACACCTCCCCTCCCTTGCCCTCAGCCACCAAGGCTGTGCATTAATGCTGCCAGTGCTGCTGATACGTGTCTTAGAGCCACAGAGTAGAGGCCATCCATTGTGCCAGAGAGGGGAAGTGACTTCCCCAAAGTCACACAGCCAGTTAGTGACAGACACAAGCCACCGACACCTCATCCCATGTTCTTTCTTCTCTGCCCTGTCTCCTGGATGCCAACCGCACATGTTTGTAGAGCACCCTCTCCTGGTCCAAGCCCTGTGCTGTACTCTATCCTGTTTTGGGGTGTGGTAGAACCATCTGTGGAAGAAAGCGCTGTGCCTCTCTGGTCAGGGGTTTTTGAGGCAGATTGGAGTTCTGTTAGGAAGCTTGGTGAAGAGGCCCAACTGTGTCCAGGATGTTGCAGGCACGGGCAGTGTAAAGCAAGAAGGCAGCCAAGGTGGGAAGAGGTGGGTGTGGTCCCGGGGCTGTTGCGCCAAGGCTGCTTGACCTCGCTTGCTGGTCTTTATGGCAGCCCCATGGTCACATGTTCACTGCAGTCCAGCCTGATCAGCCCAGCTCTGATGCCTGCCCCCCACCCCCCAGGAGGCCTTCCTGAGAAGTGACCTGCCTGTACATCCTTTTGGTGCTTATCACTGTCTGCCATTTGTATTGTGATTTTTGTCCATGTCTTATCTCCCGTCCTGGACTGTTGGCTTCTTGAGGACAGGATCCATGTATGTTTTGTGCCTATATCTCCAGTGCCTAGGACAAGGCTTGGTATTCAGCAGATACGTAATGAATATTTGTTGAATAAAATAAATGATGGTGGTAGTGAGAGATGGTGAAAGGTGGTGGACGTTGGTAGTAAACAGTGATTTATCACAATGGTAGATGGTGGAAGGTAGATGGTGGTAAATACTAGTGAGGAGCAGTGGATGATAGATGGTGGTGGTGGGAGGTGATGGGTGGAGGATGAGGGTAGATGGTGGTGCTGGGAGGTGATGGGTGGAGGATGAGGGTAGAT